AATTTCAAGGGGAACTCGCACGTACGATCCATCGCTAAAGGTTCTGGTAAAATCATCTGTTTCCGTACCACTCCAGTAAGTACTTGACACCTCCCACTATCCTCAACCTTTACATGCCGAAATGCAGTATATATATATATATATATATATATATATATATATATATATATATATATATATATATATATATAAGTGAACATAGAAATCAACATCAACACTTAGAGGCGACAGTCTGTTTCATGCTATATGCAATCGTCAGGCCACTGCCAGCTGCTGCATATATATATATATATATATATATATATATATATATATGTGTGTGTGTATGTATGTACGTATGAGTGTGTGTATGTGTATGGGTATACTGGTTCCATGTAGCTTGAGAAGTATATGTGTGTATGTGTGTGTGTATGTATATGTGTGTGTATGTACTGATTCCTTGTGGTTGGGCGGTGTGTATGTGCGTATGTGTATGTATGTGTGTATGTGTACAAATGAGTTTACTAATTCCTCATAGTAAGACAGTATATGCATGGAGGGGGAATATACGCACGCATATATACACGGATGCTGACAGAAACACACGAAAATGGAAATAGTTCTAAGAACGCACAGGGGTCAGTAAAACATTAAAAGATAAAATGCCGATAAGTAATTCATCATTTCTCTTGGACCAACCTTAATTGTTTTATGACCCTTCGCGCAGAACTCTTCATTGCCAATTCAAGAAAGACATTCGGATTACTAACACAAAAACAGAGAATGTCTCATATCGAGAATATTCAACATTGAAAAACATAAGGAAAAAATTAATTATTTTTAATAATATGTGGAAATCTCCTCTTTACCTGAAGACCAGAAACACGTGTAGAAAAATTATGGAAAATAAAGCATATTATTTTTTTCTAAAAAAAACACATTACAACCAAAAACGTTTGCGGCACCTCTCTTCTCTTCTTTTTTAATATAAGCAGCTGCCCAGTCTTCAATTTCCAATCGATATAGTCCAAAAGCGTCTCTACGTCGTTGTGGGTGAGATTAATTATTTTCCACCCTACAATCTCTTTCCCATAGGCGAAAAGTTAAAAGCCTGTCGCTGTTCTATCGCTATTTCCATGGAACGTTCTCAGAAGAACTACATTTCTTAGTGTCAACAGTTCTAACTTTTCCGATAACCTAACAGAGCCCAACTCACTAGTTTTAATTCAAATATTTCCTTCTCTTGATTTGGTTGCCAACCAAGGCTATAGAGTTCAGTATGTCCTGCTATTTACACGTAGCTGGAGGCGAGGTCGGGGAGATGTATTCATGCCTTTTTCAAAGGTATTTTTTGCGTAAGTGAATGTAACGAACTCGACTGGTATTCGAACTCGGCTCTCCGAATTCTCACTCCGAGACGCCACCGCGTTCCCACATGCGTTTGTCAACATTCTTCTTAAGCGTTACATGATTTTCTATCTCTCATTGAATGATGGCTGTGCTTAAACGCCAGAATCTATCTTACACATTTGGATATTGCCGCCACATCTGATCTGGTGCTTAACTATGTATTTAGAGATTCAGCAAATTTCAGCAAAAAACCACTTTTGACTGAAATGTGCTGTTATTAATCACATGATTAATTGTAGTTGAACTTATTTGCGTGTATGACTAATGGCTAATGCATTTGATAAATTGTTATCTATAAGATCCTTTTTGTGTTTATAGATGTAGCTTATACATAATTTGTTAAATGCATTAGAAATAAGTTCAACAAAATCTTCGATCTAAAGATTGCCACATTTATTAAATGAAAAGAAAAAAAAATTAGACGGAAACAAAGAAAGAGCGCATAATCTGGCATGATCAGTAGACTGAACAAAGCCAGTACGCTCAAACGCGGTTATCAAGGTCGCTTACGTGACAAATTATTAACTGTATCAAGGTCGCTTACATGCTCGTACACTCAAGGTTTGTGTCGGCAGCGATTGCAAATGGCGGATGTGATTTATGGCATCTATTGGACACACATTTAATGTCACCGTGTTAAATCTAAGAATAAGACAAACTAGCATGGCATGGAATTTCTGGTTTTGAAATAATTTGAGAAATTTGTTATTATTTCAGCCGAGTGAGAAAGACGTAAAAATGTTAGGGAAGTAACACACACACACACACACACACACACATATATATATTATATATATATATATATATATATATGAATAAAAGGGCAAGAAGAAAAACTATTCTTAGACGACGCGTTTCGTCTTCTGTGAGACTTTTTCAGGGCAACTGATAAATTCCCTCGGAGGACAACGCCTTCTGCTAAAATGTTTTTTCTCTTTATTTTTCTTCATATTGTTCCATTACAGATACCTTTGTGTGAAAATTATATATATATATGTGTGTGTGTGTGTGTGAAAAGTGTGTATATAAATATATAAATATATATATATATATATATATATAATCAATTATATATTATATGCGCGGTACTTAATAGAAAGCGCTCAATATCAGAGATAGAGCTAACATATTTGTTTGGATTGATGTGAGTTTGAACCCCTGGGTTTCACGCTTTCAATGTCTGACGTCGTGCAAAAGCGTGAGATAGATCAATAACATATATATATATATATATATATATATATATATATATATATATGTGTGTGTGTGTATGTATGTATGTTTGTGACCCTCAAAGTGCATTTAAAGTTTTTCAGCAAGTTTAAGAGATCAACGGAGGTTCATTGTTAATTTTTCATTTAACTTTTACTCCTTTCCGGTGAGTTGTTTGACAGCAGAATTGAGGTTGTATAAATGCTTTTCAAATTCTGAGCGCCTTTGTTTTTTCTATTTTTTTTTTTTATTTTTTTTTTTTGATCAGAAAGATATATGTATTTCGTTAAAAATACACTTAGCGTTTTCACTTAATTTTCTGCATTAGTTTTAAATATCACGCCGACACGTGTTCGTTTGTGAGTCATGTTATTTGATTTTAATTATTAAATATATTTAATATTCAATAATTTAATTATTATTAATTTAATTATTGAATGCATTTAATATTTTAATTAATTATTAAGTATATTTAATTTCTTATTTATGCTTTATTTTATATTTTGTTAATACTTGGTTTATTTTTAACGGTTAAGTTTTTTAATATCTGTCGTAGTGCGAACATAATTCTGCTTCGTTTAATTCATAGTTTTCGCTTACATTACGCTCTGACATTGTCTCAGATAAACTATGGGCCATTCGATTGTGAGGATAGACCTATTTGGTTTGGTTTAGTTTGGTTTACGGCATATCAAACTCAATGGGTTTTGTTATTTTACAGTTTATATACAATATTATATTAGTTTATATATTAGTTTATACAGCGTAACCCGGATATAAGAGAGTTGTCGGGACCGGAGATGAAGTCTCTTATATCCGGGTTTCTCTTATATCCGGATTTGGTGTATTTTGTTTAGGTAAGTATGGGCTCTAATTTGGGACTAGAGAAAATCTCTCTTATATCCGGGTTTCTCTTATATCCAGGTCTCTTATATCCGGGTTACACTGTATTAGTTTATTACTTTATTATAATGCTTATATTAATTTATGTATAATATTTTTTGTATTATTTATAAGTATTTGCTGGATTTTTTGTTTATTTTTGATAAATGACAAAATAGTCTACGATTATTTGAATTTTACTATTATTAGTCAGTTAGTCACGCTTGCTGCACGTGATACAGGTTTAGGGCGATCATGCATCTTTTGATACATGACTGATGAGGCAGGCACATTTTCCCCGCAGTTGACTGTCATTACATTCTCCAGGGGACTTGCGCGTAAGTGAATGACGAACTCAAAATTCGACTTCGGCTCCCCGATCTCTCATCCCGAACCGATAATTACACCACCACGCATAGCCTAACTATTATTAGAGAAACATTTTCGAAATGGGAGAAAGAAATTGTAAATATTCTTTCTTTTTATGTGCCATGTCCTTTCAGGACGTAGGCGATCATGGCTCTCCACCTCCTTCTATTCCTTGTAGCTCTCAACAAGTTCCTTCCCTCTGCTTCCTCTCCCAGACCACGTTCTGTCATCCACTTGCTTAAGGCCGCTAGGTATGTCACGCGTTGTTTTCCCTTGTCTCTCTTTCCCTCTATTCGACCCGTGAGTATCAGATTCTCCAGGTCCTCCTTCCTCATTATGTGTCCAAGAAACTTCAGCTGTCTCTTCCTGATGTTAAATATAAGCCTTCTCCTTGTTTGCAACCTCTCTAAGGCCTCATCGTTGCTCACACGCTCGATTCATAATATCCTTAGCATCATTCTGTAGAACCACATCTCAGTTGCCTTCAGTCTCTTCTTCATCTTTGACGAAATCGCCCAACATTCGCTGCCGTAAAGAAGAACAGATGTCACATAACAGCTCAGTGTTTTGTTGTTATTAATAATAATTTTATTGTTAATAATAATAATAATAATAATAATAATAATAATGATTTTATAGGTATTAGTTTTTTACAGTAAGTAATAAATTTGATTTTTTTTATCAATATGCAATATATATTTATATATTAATTCTCTTATAATCTTTCTTTCTAATCAACAAATATTATGTAATTGGTTTCGGTATAATTATTAAATAATGTTTTATATTATTTTATTTTGGGTATTATTGTTTTATTATTTCTTAGTTTACTTTGATTTTTGGGAATTTATTATTGAAAAATGTTTGTTTTATATTTTTAAGTTCGTTATAGAATAGAATCAATATATATAATAAGAGAATTCTATTCCTGGTATCCAGTTCATATATGAATGTAAGAACATAATTATTTTCAAAAACCGCTCCTAAATTTCTAATTTCTGGAGGGAGAAGTGGTGGATACAGACCTCCCCCAAGGATATTGAGGCGTAAGTGAATATAGTGAATCAAACTGAAATTGGAACTCGGTTCTCAAATTAACAATTCCGAGTCATTATCCACTACACCACCCGCATATCCAAGCTTACTCTATCTGGTATTCCCAAACGGTCTGCCATCTAGGTACTGACCAGGCTCGACGTTGCTTAACTTCGGCGATCGTATGGGAAGCGGTGTTTCAACTTGACATGTCCGTAAGCAAATATTACTTAGAGATACAAAAGATGAGAAGTTGTCGCTCATGCCTTATATCAAAGAAGAAAGAGCCTAAGGCTTTAAGTGCACCGTACCTAGCAATGAACAAAATGAAGACCTTAATGATTTGGGGCCAGCTCGACGTTGCTTATCTTCGGTGATTGTACGGGTACCAGTGTTTCAATGTAATATGGCCATAAGCCAATAAGATAATGATTCATATAAAATAGTCATATTGCTAAAATAAAATAATCTAAAAAATTGAATGTTCATGGTTCCGGCGTACGGACTGATTTTAGATTAAATTTTTTGGCTTGATTACAAATGGGTTAATTAGAAATTTGATTAAATCAATGAAACCCATTGTTCAAATATATTCGATTAATGCTAATACTTTATGTAATAATAATAATAATAACATAATTCTGCTTCTTCCTTTGTTCCATAGCACTTACATTACACTCTGACATTATCTCAGATAAACTATGGGCCATTCGTGTTCGATTGTGAGAATAGACCTGTTTGGTTTACATTGGTTTGCATTGGTTTGGTTTATGGTATATCAACCTCAATGGGTTATTTAATGCCGACAAGATTTTTATTTTTCTCAAAAATGTATTACTGGTAATATTTTTTTTCAAAAATGTATTACTGGTAAAAAAAAATACCCCCAAAGTATTGCTGGTATTAAGATCTATTTTTATACTTTCATAGTGTTTTAACTCCTTTGGGTGGGGGTTAACTATTTGCCCATAGCCGGAACTCTGGCAGGTGCTACCACCCCAGGTCAGAGTGGACGTGGGAACACCAGCAATTAAGTGATTGTTCTACGCTCCTCAAAACCTTCTGATCAAAGACCTTTCTGTCGGATGTAGTTTATCGTCATACCCAGGACGACCTGTTAAAGATTGCCTATGCCCTGCCCACATAACGGAAAAAAAGATCTATCAAAGGCATTGTTTACACTACTTACATTGTTCGGACTGTTGTCCTCATCTTTATTGTCATATCCAAGACGTTTCGATCGTTGCACGCTCCGGCCTTCTTCAGGTGCTATACGTTGGAAATTCGAACCGAACCCTTAATTTAGTCCACGGGTTAGATTATTTTAGTTCCACGTACCATGTCTTTTCTGGGTGTCTCATTTTCGGTTATTTCCCTTTAGTAGCTCAACTCTCCGATTTTTTGTTCACCTCTGCGGTGGCCAGGTATTGAACTCACAACTCTTTGGGTCAAGTCACTGGATTATTTCAACCAACGCTTTTATCCAGTTGGTCACGCGTGCTTGACGTCGTGGATATGCAAATAAAGATGAGGACAACAGTTCGAACAATGTAAATAATGTAAATAGTTACAATACCTTATCTCAGAAATAGAGACAGAACATCAAAATCATTGTTTGGTTTTAGGCAAAGGAAAGAGAAAGAAAGAAAGAAAGAAAGAAAGAAAGAAAGAAAGAAAGGAAGGGAAAATAGAGGAGTTAACGCGCATTTGTTTATCGTCTGTTCCAGTGAAATGTAAAATTTTATCAATTTTGAATCTTTACATTCATACCCTCTTCTTAAATAATGACCTGCATTCATACCTATGATTGATATTGTAATATTTTGTTAAAGCTATTAGGAGACGATGAAACGTAACTAGGAGTAATGAATAGCGGCTTGGATTGAGCAATCTGAGAGCCGAGTTCGAATTCCAGTCGAATCCATTACATTCACTTATGTGCTAATATCCTTAGGAAAGGTATGAATCCTCTTCTTCCTCCCTCAACTATGGGTAAATAGCAGGACAGGCTGGGTTCTGAAAAATATTGCCTCGTCAGTCATGTATCGAAAGATACATGATCACCTAAGCGTGTATCACGCATGGCACATAACTGACTGAAGCCCAGTTTGGGAGGTTACCCGGATCGACATACACTTGATGAAGGACGGAGAGAATAACGGCCGAAGCGTCCGTATTCGCTTCATATTCCATATTCGAGCAACTTCTTCTAACGAACCACTTTTTTATGGAACCGACTCCCAAGATGATTCTTCTTCGGTCATTACAATCTTAACCTGTTCAACTCTAGGTTTAAGCGTTATGTTCCCCACATATCCGCATAAACTGTGCCACCTACTCAGTAACCTTCTGCCTCAAGTGGCTCTTGGGCCTTGTACAGAGTGAGCAGCAGTGTAAAAGAGATATTGAATATTACAAGCCACTAAACTTTTATTTATTATTGACTTACTTTGTCTTTTTTCAATAGTTCGGTTCACACTCCTCCTCGGTCTTTTGAACAGGTTGGGTTTCCATTTCTGTCAAAAGTTTCTTTCATCTCTATATTTCTAACATCTCTGCCTGAACTACCATTTCTAATTTTGAACTTTATATTATTACTAGCACGCTTCGCCCGCTCGCTATATTCACTATATCTTTGAAACAAAAAAATTAAATGAACATTTAATTCATAAATTGACTTGTTATGGTTAAGGAAAGTTTTACAAATAGATGCCAACTTTTTGAAGGCCAAGTAAAATGCAAATGTCAAACACTTTTCTGCACTATATAAGACGATATTCCTAAATAGAACTATTTTGATATGAAAATCAAAACAATCCTCGAAAAAAAGAACAATAATGAAGGACAGTTAATTAATGAAATAAACTGTTTTAAACTGTAAATTCGTTAAACCTGAAGAGTGATATTGCCTATAAATAAATAATATATAATATAGATATTGAGCCGTTAGTGTGTAAATCCGTCTCTTGAGAGGTATACACATTCGGATACTCGCCGGTCACATGGCTCCGTCCCTGTGCTGATTGTATCACGGCTACGACTAGCTTGGACCAACTATGACAAGGTGACCAGCTCTGACTAGCTTAGACCAGCTTTGACCAGCTTGGACAAGCTATGACCAGCTAAGACCAGCCTAGACCAGTGGCCCGAGTGAAAACACTCGGGTCCCCACGTTAAAAACTGACCTTGTGTCACAACCTGACTCACTGGGAGGTCAAGTAAATACCGTGTAAATTCTTCTCTTGAGGGGTATACCCATTCTGATACTTCCCTGTCCCAGGTCTCCGTTCCTGTGCTGGTGGTATCACGACTACGACTAGCTTGGACCGGCTCTGACCAGCTCTGACCAGCTATGACATGCCAAGACCAGCTATGACTAGCTTAGAGCAGCTCTGACCAGCTTGGACAAGCTATGACCAGCTTAGACAAACGGCCCGAGTGAAAACACTCGGATCCCCACGTTAAAAACTGACCTTGTGTCACAACCTGACTCAGTGGTGGGGGGTGGGTCAAGTAAATATCCATACCGGTCACAGGGCTTCGTCTCTGTGCTTGTGGTATCATGGCTACGATTAGCTTGGACCGGCTCTGAACAGCTATGACAAGCCAAGACCAGTTCTGACCAGCTTGGACCAGCGGCCCGAGTAAAACTATTCTGCTTCCCACGTTAAAACTGACCTTGTGCCACAACCTGACTCAGTGTGGGGGGGAGGGGGCAAGTAAATACCGTGTAAACCCCTCTGTCGAGGGGGCATACACATTCGGATACTTGCCGGCCACATTTATCCGTCCCTGCGCTGGTAGTATCACAGCTATGACTAGCTTGGATCAACCTAGACCAGCTCTGATTAGCTTGGACAAGCTATGGCCAGCAAAGACCAGCGGCATGATTGAAGACACTCGGGTCCCCATGTTAAAAAACGGCCTTGTGTCAAAACCTGACTCAGTACGGAGTCAAGTAAATCAACCCCTCCCCTGAGGAGTTTGTAACACATCTACTTATCATCTCTCAGTTGCCTCTCTGTCTTTGGGCAGAGTGCACTCAGGGGCGACTCCGTCAAAGGACAGAGTCACAACTGAGGAAAATAATACTGAGAGGTGCCCAGCCCTGGAACAGCTGCTAGAGTCCGCGCCCTCTTATTGCACCAGAGAGAGAGAGAGAGAAATCGGTGCTCGCACAACCGATGGTTGCGGGGGCTTCGGGCAATTTTTGTTCCTTGCCCGGGTGTACCCGCTCGGGATCCCCACTTTAAAAATGACCTTGTGTCACAATTCGTCTTAGTGAGAAGACAGAGTAAATACCTAGTGTGTAATTTACTATAAAGTAGAACTGGGCTTTTTAATTTCAGAATTCAGAGCTCCAATTTCGCATTTATTCATATAGATTCCATTTTATTTAATTGGGTATTATGTTTCTCTAACTCTTCAAATTTTGAATGTATAACTAATTCTAATTTCTATTTTCCCATCTTTACACTATATTAATTTTATCGTATAAATTGTCCCCTGTTCTGTCACCCATGAAATAAAAATAATTGTTTGTACGGAAAATAAGGATCTACGTACATAAAACCGTCTTTAAATTTAGTGGCAACAGAAGAATTATCGTTGAACTTTTAAAAGGTAAACTTAAACATTAATTCAATACTTAAATGCAGCGAACAATTTTTAGTTCTTCTCTTTTTACTGATGCCTATCATATCTACTCCTACCTAGCTATTGTGATGATGGCCAAACCAAGAGTCCTCTACAAGAGCTAGCTTAAATGCCGCTCGGTAGTGCGGCCTTTAAGGCACTTTATAATAAAACGTGCACTGCAGTTTTGGATACAAAAGGAAAAATAAGAGTTACTAAAACCATGAGAGCAACGATAATGACTAGTATAATGTATTAATATATATTTTTAACCTCGTATATTCTAGCAACCTTGAATCTGATCTCAAAGAAAACCGTTCCCTGCACGTAACTTTTCCAGGGCTTTTGAATAAGCTATGGATCATTGAAATCGGACCAGTAGGAGCGGAGAAGTTGCTTGGATACACACACGCACAAACAGATACTGTAATTTATATATAAGATTGGGTTTCTGGTCCCTTCTAAAGTCTTTTTCTTTTCTTTCACTGCCAATAGCTCTTTGCGTCTTAGTGGAGTTATCGCCTTGATTAGGGTGAATTGATTTAAAAAATCAGTGTATTGCGTACGGTTGTTGCGTAATTAG